GACGCTCTTTATGTAATCGCTACAAAAATGCGCAGAAAAATGCTGTTGTCTTCGTGTTTAAATTAAGTTTATGACAGTTGCGAGTTGTCGATGCTTACTTAAGGAATATTAACTGACGTTTATTTATATGACGAATAGATATATGATTCTGGCCACTTTGAAGAACCCCGCCGAATTTTTCTTCGGATTTATAGAGTCTATTTATTTTTTTACTTCGACTTCTCTCTTCCATTTTCCACGCTGGCTGCAACGCAGCTGCAATGAATTATCACAATAACGTCGATATATGTTAAGCGCTAGCCATTCGATCGATCGCATAAATTTATTTTTCCGGTCTTATAAGGCCTATTAGTTTTAAGGCTGATAAAAAGTATAAAAATCAATAAAGTTGTAACTTGCTAGTTTTTGTTCCTTACGCGGTTATGTTTTTTCATCGCTCAAGTGTTTCCCTTCAGCAATGTAATGACTGTTTTTAATGAATAATGGCTATTGAACCATATACTTGATCTACGAAACATCTGCAATTTTCTTTTTCTCACAGAATGAAATTAGCATAGAATTTCATAGAATCGACGAGTTTGTTAGAAACGAGTATTCTTCGCTCTTTATCTAAAAGTAAACAGGTAGTTCTCCAAATAGAAAGTTTTAGAACGCTTAAAACTTCATACACGGTAAGATGATAAAGATTATGACAAGTCTAAGTTAAAAGGAGATTTATCTATGCGAATACAATACAACAGTTGTTACATTCAACTAAATGGTGTATCGAGAATGACATGTATTGCATTCATAGGACATATACCATGATATTTATTGCATTGTTTTATTACACATGACCAATACTGTTTTCGATTATAGGGATAAGTGTCACACTATTTTAACCAATAGACTTATTCATCATGCGTACATAAAGTGAATTAGTTGTAATAGCCGTTATAAATATTACGCTTATCGAACTTGCATCGTCCGTTGATGGCAGAATTTATAATTATTTTTTGCTATCATATCAATGCATGATGATATTGCTTTCATAAAATATATAAATTTTACAATGACTATAGCAACTGACCACTATCATAATTTTCTCTAATAATAATGTACTTGGATGAAATTTAGGACGAGGGTGTGTTCACCATTTCAGTCGTGGTGCTCTGCGTCTCCGCAATTGGTTTCTCTTGCAGTTCTAACCACGGTAATCGTTTTTGCAGTTCCAGTCTGTGGAATAACATTAATGTTTAGAGGAAACTAATATTAAAACTCTTGATCTATATTACGACAGTTACGTTAAATTTACTTGCCTATATCTCGGATGGCTTATGGCGTACACGTACGGATCCAAGCAAGCCACAAATTTGCATGTGCACGCCGGTATCATTGTAATACCTGGAGTTAATAGTGCTTTATTCCCGAAAGCACCGATCATCGCGAGAGTACCATATGGGGTCCACGAAAGGACGAAAAGAAAACAGATCGTGATCGCAGCCTAGATAAAAGAAGATACGCAACATGTCACGTAATTTTTTTTAATGCATGTGTTTTAATGAATATAATAAATACATGATAACTGCTCTCATATTTACGATTCAAATGCAGTAACGTCAATGTATTAATTCAATACAGAAAGCTAGAATTTTTAATCGCCAGAATTTGGTATGAAATGTATATATCAACTTTTTGAGCAAAAAAATCAGAGAATTCTATCGATCATATAAAAATTCTGAAACTTCGCCATTTTTACAAAGATGATTTTTAGATTTCGAAACAATTTTTAAAATTTAATATGCGATACTTGTGAGCATATGAACTCATCTGACAAGTAAATAAAGTTTGCAAAACATCTGCACAGACAAAATTTTTGGTTTTAAAAAAAAATTTGGCTTATTATTAATATTAGTTCAAAAAAAATAAACGTTCTAACTTTAAATTTCTTCAAAAACATAATTTTTATAAAAAATTATTTCTATAAAAATTATATGATACCTTAGCTATACGTATTTCCGCGCTTTGAGCATTCGTATTTGCGTTGCTCCTCAAACTTTCAACATTCATCTTCTTTGCTTGTTCACGGAGAGCTTTCTCATGATTGACAACGTGGCTGACAATTTGACTATAATAATATATGATGAGAGACATTGGTATACAATAGGAAAAGGTGAATATTGTGGCTACGAAGTATCGTATCTCTGGCGTATCTGTCAAATAATCGAAAGTGCAGCTCGTTAAAAAGCCTTCAGGCACAAAACGACCCCAGACATGCATCAGTGGCATCAAGGCCCAAGGAATCGTGTATGTCCAGATGAGCGCGATAAGGAGTATCACTTGACCGCGTGACAACTTTCCGTCGAGTGGTCGAGCTATAGTACTATAATTTTATTTATATTTATATAAATATACTACGTATCAATATGTGTTTTATTAATAAATTCAATACGCAAAATATGGCACTTATTTTAAAGTATATATTATATATATAATATATTTAATATATATATTAAATTTTATTCATTTAAACAGATTTTGTGATACCTATATCTGTCATATGCAATAGCGGCATTCGTCATGGCAGCTCCAATTCCACTAAGCGCTCCCATGCAAGCAAAGATCTGACATCCTAAATGACCCGTAGCAAATCCGGTATTGAAGGAATTATATATAAAAATCGGTGCCTTAAGCATCATGATAAAATCACAAAACGCCAAGTTCACCACAAACAAATTCGAGGGAGTTCTCAGCGATTTGGCTCTACATGTAAAAGAGATATCAACGTGACTCCATTTGAGGTGATAATATCTTGAATTCTAATATTTTTAATAATAGTGTATTAAAGATTAGAGAAGTCCACAAAATTGCAGAAAGAAAAATATTAAATTTTATTGATTCTTGATTATATTTTTCGTACGCTTGTGAAATTGGCACAATTTATCCAAATATAGTTGAATAAGATTCCTTGCCAAAATATTTAATTGTAATGTGTGTGTGTGTATATATATATATATATATATATGTGTGCAAAACTTACGAAATGAATATCCATATAACCAGTCCATTTCCAAGTAGTGCCACGAAAGTGAAGAGTATATACAGAATAGCTAGCAGATAATGAAGGGAGGGGTTGGGCTCGGGATAGACCAGCCAATGTTCCGGTATATGGACTAATTCTTCAGNNNAGCAGGAACGTTCCATCCCAGCAATCGTGGTGGTCCTGCTGGTAGAATTCTCGCCTCCCAGTGAACGCTTCCGTTGGTATACATATTGCGGTCTGCCAACCCCTCACCTTATTTTACTTCGTATCGGAGGACTTTTTATACGCTTTGCGGTGATTCAAATCCGCGAAACCCTAATCCATCTAGCTTAAATGGCTTCGAATGGAGGATTAGTCAAAGATTATCCCTAACTTGCTGATGGTCAGCATGCTTTTATATTACGTCAGCTATCGAATTATCTATAAAGTAGGATTTTTCTATTATGGCTTTGATTGCGCGATAGGATTGTTGTTATTGTTTGTTTCTCGAGGAAAAAGAAAAATATTCCAAAAATATTTTTTATCGAGAATAATTTATTTTAAAAAATTACGTAGAAGCATTTGGATAATATATCTGTCATTGAGTTTCAATAATATTAAGAAGTTTCAAATGTTTATATTTGCAGGATAACCCGCGTACCACAATTAATACAATTATATTGTAGAAATAAAAATTAATTTATAAGGAAGGATTTAAAAATTAAGACCCTCCCCCTTTTTAATTAGTAACAATATAATTAATATATTAACAATAATAATTAATATTAGCCAATTGAACACGCACGTATGCATGCGTATCGAATTTATTATTAATTTCTAAAAATTATATTAAATTCACGTTCTATTATTCTATTATACTCTGCCTTCTCTTTCGGCAGATTTATCGAGTAAAGTATATGCTGGTAAATAAGATGAGGGGTTGTTAGGATCTTTCAACAACGGATTTCGCGTCGTAGTACTTTTGCTGCCAATACTCGTGTATCCTTGATCGTAGAGCGAGCAATAAGGGATGTTGTGCTTCAATAAGAATGTCCATACTTGACTGTACGACCAGTGCAAGATTGGATTAACGCGTATTAATCGTGGCCAGTCCGAATCAGTAGGCGCAAACGGTTGTAGATTTTCAGAACCCGGGTCACCTTTCCTTATTCCCATGAGACTTGCTTTTAAATTGCATCTCTCCTCCAGTAAGGCAGACAACGCGGATCGCATTGGCCGTTGCTTTCGTATTATTTCCACACCATAATACTGAGAAGCTGATTCCACAAACGTTTCCACCTATGCATACGTAATTTCAATACAGTATATAGAAATATTCTAATTACATATTACATTATTTAACCATTAGTGCTCTTACCTCTGGAAAGGAATCAGCAGTTACGTATAAACATAATAAGGACGAGATATTACGCAATTTGGCGATGGTAGCAGCTAAATGCAAGACTACTGTACAATCTTTACCACCATTAAAACTAATGAATACTTCATCTGAATTATATCTATAAAATATATACACATATATACATATTCTAATAAATAAGACATACAGTATATACATGATAATTCAGGATATATATGTATATGTATCTTTTTGCACCAGCAAAAAAGACACATTATTTATTAAAAATGTTGATATGGTTTCTCATTATTTATATGTGCATACCTATCATAGCATTCATTTAATATATCCAATGCGCATTTAATATGCGCTTCATTTTTACTATCTTCCAGAATAGCATTCATTTGAAAACGACCGAATCCGTGTTTTAGATTCATAATCTTTTGTATTGGTAGATAATATAAAAGTTCCTCTCTTGCCTCCGAAATTGCTTCCTTAGATCCCTCCAAAGTAATTCTCGTAAAAATTTGCGGTTCTGATTGCGGATAACTGCCAATTTTCACTTTGCCATTCCAACGTTTTGACTGTTCATCCAAAATATTTACTATTGAGAGTTCCTCCAATTCAATATCTATATGTTCATAGTGCAATGGCGCGCATCCTCTCAGTTGAGATATTATTACATCTGCAGCAGATTCGAAGTATTTCGGCGAACCAGGCAGTACATAAACATTTTTCACGCTTATTACCGGGAAAATTTCTGAAAATTCTAATATA